GTTGTCTAAATACGATAATGGACAGCCCTGATGTTATTGCGGTGATACAAGTTCATAGTATGTGGAGTGACGTATGTAATGTGTACTTTCCTCTCTGTTGTGAGGACAGCTGTTGGACATGACCGCGGCAACCACACCTCGAACACTGAAAGACAAAACCATGTGAGTGATGTCATTACTACTGCTCATGCAAACCAGCTGTGAACCATATGGCTCACATGGGACGGCCATTCCACGGTGTTAAAACATAGAAGTGTGGGTGTGTATGTGTCTGTGTGTATGTATGTGTGTGGATATGTGGTCATTGCTGATGCAAAGAATATCCATGATCTAACCAGTTTTACACAAAAAAAAACATACTGATATAGTGTCTTATGAAATGAAACATACAAGTAGTTTTTATTACCACAGTTTCAGTAGCCATTCTGGAAATTATATGAAATGATACAGTACATTTTTACTCGATCTGAGGATTTGAACTTAAAACCTGAGGTGCATTTCTCAGCCGCTGGTGACCCAATTTTGTAAATGAAGTGGTCCAATCCCTGCTTTTTGCGTGATATGTTATTGCTTTAAAACATTCCCACAGTTTATATTCTTCAATTGTGGAGGATTTTAGTGGTTGAACAAACTGAGAAGATTCACCTCTCCACAGATATAACTTGTAAGTTAACCAAATTAAGTTATTTTCAATGTAAAAGGAAAGCCGAATGACAAGCATCAAGGAAATACAACAATATTTAAGGTGGGCCTGCCGCTGGGACAGTTCAGGAATGCACCTTCAAACTACATTTTATTGACAGGCGAAAAACTGATTTTTTGATAAAGAATTTAAAGATTGCACTTATCACTCACTTTATGGTGCGGATATAAACTAAATATTCAATGGTAATTGGTAAAGCAGTTATTTGTGTTTAGATGACCTGGTGGTGAATCCCCAGATCTGTGCATAAAGACGTCACTTCACTGGCCACAGAAACAAGCCAAACATTTCTACTGTAATGTCCGCTTTGAATCGTGTTTAATTATTTATTTTTTTTAGATCAAGATGTCAATTTTTTGGTTATTTAACTTACAATGTGAATAATGTGAGTCTATAAGTCTATTGACCCTGTGCATGTGACGTCCTGGCCACGCCCACTCTCCATGACAGACAACAGAAGTTTAACTGTGAGCCTTTGGAAACTCACGAATAACAGCCAAAACTGTGATATTTTGCAGTGCGGTTGGTTGTACTAACAGGCAAGAACATAAGCCAAATGTGTCTTTTTATCTGGTACCTGCTCCTGATGAAGACAGAAGACAACGATGGCCAGCGGCAATCAACCAAAAGGACTGGGAGCCGTCCAAGTACTCCCGAATTTGCAGTGAACACTTTTTACAAGATAAATCAATCACAATTTTGTATTCATTTTCTTTCCATGAATTTATTTGGAGGACAATGACACAACGAACACTTGAAGTCAAACGTGTGCTCTAACTAGTGTCCTGTTTGTGTGCTGCAAGATTGAAATTTCCTCACTGTGGCACAAATAAAGGATCTCTTAACTTAGACGTCAGTTGTGTTTTTCACCATTTTCCTCTCAATATGTATGTATCATGTTTGGCTGTAGACAAAAAAGCGGACTATTGCTAATGCGCTAATGCTACCAGCAAAATGTACATATAAATCTGCTCCAGTGTAAGGAGATGCATTGTTAACGACATGATGATTAATATCATGAGGGGTGAGTTCGGGCAAAATTAGACATTTCATTTAATCAATAAAATCGACAGTGGGGAGAAGGTACGGGTCAACATCCAGTTCGGCGATCCTTAACTTCTCCAAATACTTCTCTTTATGAGCCCTGACAACATGTCCTACTTCCACCGATAACGTTATTAAACATGTGTTTAAAGTGGCCACATCTTGATTTAGGAGTGGAGTCTCAGTTTTTAAGAGTTGTAGTCCATTTTGCTCTTAACTTCCACCACTTCCGCCGTAAGCTCATGCACAATCACGTGACTGGATGACGTTGATGCATCTGGTCAATAAGTGAGATGTATCAAGCCTTTAGTTGTAATAATGTTGATAATTGACTCACAGCTTGTAAAACCCCCAAATAAAGACAACATGATGTAATGCAAGTCTATATCATATACTGCTTTCAGATTTTAAGTTTTTTGTGTATCACCTGTTTATTATTGAAGCCTAGATTCATGGACATTAATGTATATTTGATTACATCCCATTGACTTAACGTAATTTCTTGTAAACGTAACCATTGTGAGATCAATAATGTCTATCTTATCTTGTTCTCTGTATTTCATTTATTTTCATTTCATACATGCATAGTTACAAGACTTAACCAAACAAGATACTCAGACAAATTGTATATATAAGTACCCAACAGAAGCACCAAAATGAATAGTAATAATGTTCAGTTAACATAGAAGTATATGTAAATAAAATAATCGTAATAATATTAATAATACAAATAATACATTGTCTTGTTTTATGTACGAAAGAGAGTGGGAAGAAGTAAAAACTTATTTAATCCCACCCTTAATTTCAAATGACTCTTTCACCATCCGAGTCGCAAAATTATCATTTACTATTAAAGCTTGAGAACAAAGAAAAATGTAAATGTAAAATGAAAACATCAATGGTTGTGTATAACTTGCACACCAACACACACTCAACTAATGTAACTCTGATATTTCTGACAGATTATCTCTTAAACTGTTTTTTAAATTGAAATATATTATGACACTCTTTTAACTTAATATCAAGTCTGTTCCACAATTTTGTTCCACAAACTGAAATACAGAAACTTTTCCTTCTTGTCCGCACTTTTACGACTTTAATTTCCATTGTATTCCTTGTGTTGCCTTCATCACCGTGACTACAATCCACATGATCATTATTGAATCACAAACCAGCATTTATTTCAACACACAAATGAACACAACACATGTATAATAAAAAAAAAGTTTTATTTTTGACAGTTTATTCATCCAATTGAATTCAGGGTTCAAATACTTTCAAAGGAATGTTAGAGATTGAAAAGTCGTACAAAAGTCTCATTAGACCAAGATCTCTGTGTTACGATATTGCCCTTGCGTTTATTTACAGGCCATATTTAGAAGAAAGCATGGTTTATTTGTTATTCAAAGATTGTAAAGCAAAATTACAAATAGTTTCTTTGGTACAACAAGCACAGTAACACGTGGTATAGAGCCAAAAAGACAAAATGCAAAAAAATAAAAAATGTCCACCACTGCAAACAAATACAAAGAATATACATTACATTTACTGACATATTAACACTGAGAAGAGGGAGGGCAGAGCTGGAACCACGTTGTTTGGTAGATTTCAGTCTTTGGGGAATTATTAGCTCTTGTCTCCTCGTCATGCACCACTTTTTAAAATCATTTTTAAATCCGTTTTTTTCGGCTTGTATCTGATGAGCATTACACTTTCAAACAGCACACTCAGCACAGACAACTTACAAATATACAGAAATTGGGATGCAACGTAAAATGTATACAAAAAACATGTGGTACACAATCTCTTTGTTGAATTTTAGTTTCAAAATCAATTTAAAACACATTTTGGATGCGTCTTTATAATCAGTGTGTGTATATATAGCTCTCGTTTATTTCTAATTTAGCCTAACCCTATAGATACCACCAAAAACCTCTATCTAACACGTAATTGAGCAAATGTAAAAAGTGAATTTTGTCTTCTTTAACCTTTTTTATTAGAAAAAGGGTAAAGAAATACCCTTTTTTATTAGAAAACCGAATTAATGCATATTTTAGTCAGCCAGTGGGGATATTTCTAAGCCTTAACTGAGTGGCCATCACAAAAAAAGAGAAAAATTGTCAAACAACAAAAAGTCTTACATTTCACACGATGTCCCAACTTCAGTGAAATTTGCGTCGTCCATACTGCACAATCAGAAAAGAAGCTTTGATGCACACGAGGCTATACATACATGCATTATTTTAACAATACACACACACCGACACACTTACAGAGTCAAGCCAAATGTTTGTAAACAGAATCCAAGGCAGTGTGAATGTGTTTCCTGTGTCTTTCCGTCATACGATTGCGATTGCGACGAACTGGTAAAGATCTCTCATGCTGGGTGATTTCCTGACGGCTTGCAGAGAACACTTTTGGGTGTTGACAGGACTGGGCTTATAGACTTATAGACTCCAGAGGCATTAATCATAATAATAAACATTTCTCCGAGTGTCCAGTCCACACCCTCGGCCCGTCCCGCCCCTATGCTGTCAGCCTCCCCAGGGACCAGGCTCCTCCGTCACAGCTATAAGTCTTTACTATCTCCAATGTTTGTACAAGCGTCGAGCCAGGAAGACGCTCAGTTATTATCTTTGTTCAATGGTAAAGTGGAGGCCTAAAAAAACGCCTATTTTTGTGGAGGAATCCCAGCCTTAGTGCATTTACTTTCATTGCATTCAACTGAACAAGGCACGCCATGTGTTTTGCCTGTATGCATGAGTGAGGTGTGCAGAGTTAGAACGCAAAAATGATCCGAGATTTCTATTGTAGTTATGCATAGATATTTTGAGCACTTTTAACAGAATCAAAGATAAATTCTGGCCTCGTTTATGGGTTGAGTTGTCACATTCTATTTACACATTTTTATTTATTTAACACTGATATTGACATTGATAAGCGACAATAAGTAACTACTGTATGAAGACAGTGAGAATTAGAATAATGTTTTTGTTTTAGAAACTACCCAATCGAGAGCTATTGCTTTCTTTGGAATCTGAACAATTGGTCTCAGTATCAGCGATTTAAACAGGAAGGTCAATGGGTCTTTTGAATAGCAGTTGCTTATCACCTCTCACCCACATGTCTCTTTACCTGATTGGACATTGAATACAGAGCATAATTGAGCTGTTAACCTGCAGTTTTGAAGTGGTGTAATGATAACCGTTGTTGTATATGCACATGTAAAGTGTGTTGTCTTGGTGGGAGGGATTCACAGCTCTGTGTCAGCCGTAGTAGCAGGAGTAGAGTGGCCGTTGGTGGGTGGAGGCTGGCTCTTGTCTCCCTCGGGTGCCTCGCCGTTTGCGCTGGGCTTCTCTGGGGTCTCAGGAGGAGGATTCAGGGGGGCGTCTGAGGCCAGTGTGTTGGCCTGATTCTGCTGGTCCACCGGAGTGCCCTCCTCAGCCTGGGAGAACACGGTAAATGAGCATTTTAGCATTGACTGGTTCATTACTTCTTTAAAAAACATCTTTTCATGTATTGGAAAAGTGATACTTAGTTGTGCCACCTGCATGTAAAACTCTGATCTTGTCAGACCTCAGCTGCTAAGAAGAGCAGCCCCTTGTTAGTGCTGTGATGGGAGACCTCTGGGAACAGCAGTTGTAAAGTGCCAAATTGTTGTTGGTGTCCTTAAGCAAGACACTTCACCCACATTGCCTCATATGAGTCTGGTGTGTGTGTGTGAATGATTCAGAAGTCAGTAGGGCCAATGGTACAGATTAGAAGCCTTTCTTCCGTCAGTCTGCCCCATGACAGCTGTGGCTACAGAAATAGCACAACACCATCATGTGCAAATAGTTTATAATATGAAAAACTATAATAAATAATGCCATGTGAGGCGTGTATAAAACAGTGAGATATTATTAAAGAACAAATAAGAGCAGCCCGTCTGGAGCACAAGATTCCCCAAGTAGGATGGAGACAACTTGGAATCATGTTGATTTATGTACTTTATATATTTTTTATATTTGTTCTGTTATCAACAAGTGATGAATGTGTATTATTTTATCAAAACATTTCTAATTGAGAAATCATGCATTACAGAGTACAATGTAATTTTCGATGCAAATGCTCAGAGTATCCATTGTGCTGCGATTAATCCCCCATGCTGCCTTTGTGTTTTTCCTCATGTCACGTTACAAATGCAACAGAAAACCAGATACAGCATTTGGCAAAGAGATAAAACGGAGACATTTGTGGCATCTCGAGGGAGGACTCTTTGAATTCAACACATCCAATCTGAGCCTGTGTAATTCTTCTGATTATCTGCCAACAACATCACCTAATTAAAACATGGCACAGTTCTGAAAGGAAAACAAAGCGTGTGTCTTCTCAAATTGTCATTTCTGTCCAGTGAAGAGGACAGTGAACAATTGGTGTTTTCTGCTGTAAAGAAGGGGATCCAATATAGCAATTATGGGATTTGTACCAAGTGATACTCATCATGCACTCACTATTTGTTAATGGAACCAAGAACTTGACATCAAAAGTATAGTTTCAATGAGGTTTGGTAAGTATTGGTTTTGTTGTTATAGATTTTGATACGAGGAATACAAATTGGCATGGTCTTTGAGTGGTCTCTTTCTTTTAATATTCTAGCTTTAGCTGATGCTCCTCTTTCTTAAGGGCATAAGGTCCCAATCTCTACCAATGCATCGATCATATTTGACCAAAAATAGAGAAATTCACAAATAACCCAAACCCTATGTCTCCATTGAAGGGTTGTTTCTGGTCTTGTGGTGCATGGTTCCACTGTCCAGTTTTGGGATTTTGTTTTGTTTGTTTTGTTCTGTTTCGTTTGTTTCATTTGCTTCGTATGTTTCGTTTGTTTTGTTTGCTTCGTTTGCTTCGTTTGTTTCGTTTCCTTTGTCGATCTCTTTGTTTGTTTCTGGTACCCCCCATGCAGACCATTTAAACTGCCATTTAAAATGTGTATATATTTATGAGTACATATTTCCGCAACATCAATTGAATTTCTTTTGGGATCATCCATGTTTCAAATCAGATCACAAGCTCCAGAAACTAGTATTCCCAATAATACCATAAACTACATCTATTAAAAGGTGTTGGTTGAATGCAGTGATTTTCCTTCATACATCACATATAAGGTCAGTGTGAACGGCCGTGCTTAATAATGCATCCGTATAGCTTATGTAATAATTTATGTATGAGTGAAAGTGCGCAGACAAACCCACCAGGCGCTCTCCTTTGGGGCTGGGTCTGCGCTGACATTTGAAGTATCCCACGGTGAGCGCCACAGCCCCCAGGAGCCCAGTGACCAGGATCCCCACCAGCACCGAGGAGCCAGAGGACGAGCTGAACTTCACATCTTTCACTCCCAGCTGCAGAGAACGCAGAAAATCATTATGAAACTTTATACGGATTCGAAAGACTCACAACAGTATCGTGATGTAAATACCTTGTTTTTCATCTCGTCGCTTTGGAGAGCAGAGGCCAGGGTTCCCAAACTGGCTGCGTGAGGAAGGTAGAATGTTAAAACAATGATTTTTTATGACTTTCAGGAATATGTTTTGGTCATCACTTGATAAGAAGTGTGTAATTATATGTATGTTTTGGAAAACTCCAAGAAGATATAATTGGACTCATCTTTGAAGTACAAAACACAGAAGACAGATTATTAACTGAAAATTAAAGACTAGAATGGGATATAAGTTTTATTTGGCTCCCCTGATTATCCTTGTTAAAGTAGAGTGGGAGAGGACTACAAAATATTGACTGTGACTGCAATACCTCTTTTGGCCAGATTTTTACATACTGCTCCTTTAAAAAAGTCAGTAAAAATTTTTGTCCCCCTTTTCACAAAGTAGCTCTACTTGTAAATAGGTTAGAGATCCCTGAGCTGAAGTGTGAAAAAGCAGGGCTACAGCCGCTAAAAAAAGGTATACAGTATATATATATATATATATTAAAAAAACATTATACAACAAATGAAAGACACCTGCAATGTAATTGGAAAGCCAAATAAAAATAAAAACATCTCTTTTTTTGATCCGTTTATCTGAATTGATGGTACTTTAAACCAATCCATCAAGCTTTTCTGAAATTGTGATTTGTGGAATTTCTATTGGAATACACCAATCACTAGCAAAACGTTGGAAGTAATAACGCCTTACACATCGATATACATATGTGTAGTGGACTCTTGACGTGTTTAAATGTCAGATGTGTACTGTTATATTCAGTGTGTATCATTTATTTACCATCGTCACTGTCCAGGAGCACCGTGCTGTCGTCCTGGAAGATGTTGATCTTGCAGGCCTGCTTGCTGCACCAGTTTGCAGGGACGGCTTCCAGGATGTTCTTCGTTGCCTCCTGCAAAACAAAATCAAAGTTCCTACAGCCGTCCCAGTATATGAACTTGTTAGGTCTATGTCTAAGCCTAGAGAAAAGCAAAGCTGGTGTTTAAGTTCTTGATGGGGCTAAATGTGTAATGTATACTATAATGAGATTCTAACCTTGTTAAGATAAGATAAGATGGACTTTATTACAGAGGATAGGAGAATGTGAGACAGGCGACTTCTCTGGCAGTCTAGGTAAAAAAAAAAAAAAACGGTTTTGTTTAGCTGTGCCTACAACTGAATGGTTTTATTTTTAGGTGCACTATGGCTATTTATGATCCAATGTGTGATTTCAATGTTTTAATGTTTTTAATTATTGTATGATTTTTTTCCTTATGTTTTTGAATTTTCTTGTGATCTCATTCTGTGTTTTTAATGCACTTTGGGATTCTAATTCTATTTTTAATGTTTATGTAGATCTTAATGTCTACGACTTATGCCTGATAAGGGTTGTGATGCGCTTCGTTTTGCCTTGTGTAGGAAAGGCGCTCTACAAATAAAAGTTGATTGATTGATTTTTTTTTATTATCATATCATCATGATCATCATAACTGGCAGATATAGGTGGTTGGTGAAACAATTAGATACCTATCTCTGCCAGTTATGATGATCATGATGTTATGATAATCTAACTGCAGATCTTTCATGTTTGGCAAAAAAATAATCTATTCAGCAGTTTTGAATAGGAAGCCGATGTATTGTTTTGTGTTTTGAGTCTAATGTTATGGACAGATGACAGCTGATGCACTGTGGGCCTATGGGAGACGTAAAACAGCTGGACGGAACATATTTGAGAAACCACACCTTCCTGTTCCCGCCTTCACCCTGAACTATGAAATCATCCTTCGCACAACATTACGCTGTGAGACTCGGAAAGGCTCTTGATTTGCAGTAACGTGATCCAAAAATCCGCTCTCAGATCCCCCAGGACCAGTGAGCAAAGACCTAGCAATCCCCGGCTTGTTGGGAGTGGGCCACAACTGAACTGCATTTGCATTCTCTGTTATGGGAAAGTTTACGGCAAAATTTTAAAGTATCAAGGTGCAAAACGGTTAACATTTTGAGAGACAGTAATAATAGTGCTTGTCTCTATTATTATGATTATTATCTATTTATTTGATTGGGACAATGCACATTAATCAGTATAAAACAAGCTAGTTTTCATCCATAGTCCCCAGGCAGGAAAATACATTGAAAATGACAACATGCAAAACAATGAAATACAACATAAAAACTTGAAAACTCTATGAAAACTTGCAATTATGAATGGGATGTTGAACCTAATTTTAAAAACTGAATATTAGAATGTCAATCAAAAGTATTTATTTCTGAAATTTTACTTAAAATGTGAGACCTGTACATGGTTTGGGCTCATTGCATGGAAAATGACAAATGGCAAGTCTGGTGATGATTTTTATTATTACGGCTTAAAGTTTAAATTTCACAATATTTCTAATTTTCCAAGACGTTTCATTATGTTTGGTTTTTTTGCTGTGAACCATAATTGCTTGCATGTATATATATGTATGTAAAAATTATAACAAATAATGGCTCAATAGATCTCTAGAGTCTGTCATGTATTAGTGTATATTAGTTTGACATACGTTGAATCACAGCAGTAAAGACTTTAAAACAATACCTCACCTTCTTTTCTAGTTCTCTCTGATGTGTCTATGAAGTATGATTTAAACTTTTCAAAATTATCCGTGATTGTCCAGAATATGTGACCAAGCAGCCACTCTATAGATTGTTTAGGACATATTGCATTTGAAAAGCTTCTATCAAGGACAAGCGCAGAAAAATCTTACAGAATTATTATTATTTTTAATAGATTTCAGTACACAATATTGAGTTCTGTTCATTGCAAAATTTGTGAAGATATTTTAAACCCAATCCACTTTATCTGTATAGCACATAATAAGCATAATAAGTCCTGCACATGGAGAATAGTAACATGATGGGATAGTTGCAAGGTGGGTAATTATATTTATGGGGATATTTGTATACATTTTTAGAGTTGGTAGATTGGCTCCATGTTTCAGAGATAGCAACGATAAGTATTACCAGGCACGTTTGATCATTTAATTTAGACTAGAAACATACGTGAGTGCCACAACGTGCACTTCTTTCCGCATGTTCTCGAGGGCATGGGTGGCTCTGTGGAGCTATACATTTCAAGTCTGGTTTTGATTACGGCATAATCCCAGTTCTGCTCCTATTTGAACTAATCCTGAACCTGACTCCATTGTCCCATGTTACAAGAGGAGAAGCCAGATTTGGGGATGATTACTTTTTCAGATGCCTTTAACTCAATAAATCCAACAGAAATGGCACAAAATCAAGTCGTGATTTCAGGGGATCTGACAAGACTACTTTATTGAACAGAAATTCTTTTGTTCAAAAATCCAAAAGTTGCATCTACTGTTAATAATAGGTTGCACATTTTGAGATGAGGGCAGGGGGATTGTAATGCAGACCAGTTGTTTTTTAGAAGACCACACCCGAGCTTTTGTTTTTGCCTGCAGTGGAGAAAAATGATCTGTCCGCTCATTTGTCCAGCGGCAAAGACGCTGGATTTATATCGAGAGAGGAATGTTGGAGAGATGATCTTTATGGGCACTATAATTCCTCTTTATGCCTTTCTTAAGGAGGGATCAGCCATTTCCACCAGATAAGATCATTAGGAGGCTGTACGTCCAGGTTTCCACACCAGCTTTAAAGATATTTGCGATATAGGATTTGCTTTTGTGTAATTTATTTTCATGATGATTTAAAGGACTTCTTGTTATAATTTATGATATGCTAAGATTGAGATATAGCTTTAAAAATACAACCACTGTGTTTGTGTGTCATTTATAAAGCTGAAAACATATCTAGCTTTGAATTTAAGGTTTGTTGGCTGTGCATGCTGCAATTGAAGCTAGGGTTAAAAAAACAAAACAAATTTCGCTCTCTCTCATCCATGTATTTTTGTTTGGATATATATTCATATTTGGATCAGATCTTTCAAAAATGCGTAAAAAACTCCCAGCCCAAAGACTCCAATAGTGACTCACAGGGCTCTTTTCTTATACATTAAGTATGGATGTTTTCAAATCAGATGCAGACAGCATTTTGTTGCCTAATTTGTTCAGAACATTTGACAATCTTCATGTGTTATTTATGAAACCAAAGTTAGCTACCTGAGTTTTAAGATGCTCTACAGCTACAGTAAATTACTTGACTTGTTTAATTCACATGTTTAAGCAGATCTGGCCCCACCAATAGTTTGCATGTATTGCTGATATACTGTATCTGAACTGGCAACCCTATACACTGCATTCAGAGGAGTGTATCTCAATCTTCAAGCTCTCCATCTTTGAGTTCAGTTTGAATGTGTTTTGAAGGAAGTTAGATTAGCATTAGACAACTTTGGGGTATGAAAATGAAGAATGAATGGACAAGCTCACGTACACAGTCATTTGTGGCCACACTGGCTTTGACCGCGTTGCTCTCTGTGATGTCCTCTTTCCCAACACACTTCACATCAGGCTGAGGAAACAGGAAGAGGAAATGTTTAAAAAGACCATTACAGACTGAAACATAGCGAGAATAAAAGGTGAAATGTTATGGTTACATTTATGACCGCACTTTCCGGAGACATTACATAATAGATTGACCATGACCTCGAGATGGGTGTCGTTCTGTTCTGAATTGAAAGCCACTTTTTTCTTTCTCTCCTTTTATCGATCAGTCATGCCAAAAAGTCAAGTACTCAATAAATATTACTCTTTCCACACGGGATTAATTTTCCCCCCATGCAGTCACACAGCTAGACCATAGACTGTATATAGATGCCTTCAATCCCTGTAGAAACACATCCGTCCATGTTACAGCGCAAAGCTAACCCAGAAACAAATGCTTATACAAGAAAATTGGCTCCAGCTTGTGTTCAAACCGGCTTCTTCCATACTCGGCAATCACTATGGTGACATTCGCACTCTACCCGTCCACTCTATTATTATACAGTATGCACAAGACGTAGATATGTTGTGAAAGTGACTCTTAATGTCATAATTAGTTCACTAGAGACCGGAAGTGCAATGCTAATGCAGATAACTTGAACTAACTCTTTGTAGTCACAAATAAAAAGCAAATCGCTGTGAATAATATGGATGTGAGAAATTGTTTCAATATAATCATATTTTTGCTGATTTTAAATTGATAAAGATTAGGTTGACTTTTGCCCCTTTAAATCCATACTAAACTATAAATGTGTGTAAATTTAGGGAGTATTCACCATGACAGGGGCCGGGGCGTCTTCAACTACAGCTGCATCCACCGCAAAAACAGTGTTGAGGCCTGTGACTGGACCAGAGGCGTCAGCAGCAGTGGTGGGAGCATTATCAGAGTCTGCAGCAGCACCAGGGGCCAGGGTCACCACAGCATCTCCAGCATCTCCAGCATCTCCAGCATCTCCAGCATCTCCAGCATCACCTGCGTCTCCCGCGTCTCCTGCGTCTCCTGCATCTACTGCGTCAGTTGGAGATGTGACCAAGGTCAGTATGCAACAATAAAATCCATCAAACTGTGAGGGGAAAAACTGTTTCTTGAGTCGAAATGTGGAGTAAAATCTTCCCTGATTCGACTCAGTGTGGACATCTCATACACTGTCTATCTATAGTGTATGGAACATGCTAACCTAAAGCCTAATAGAAAAGTTCTCATGGACAACGTTTTACTTGATTTGGCCCTTATTGATTTACATTGCAAAGTGAACTCTTCTAGTTTTTTTGATGACAAAATGGTCATAATTAATCTTAGTATTATGTGCATAATCTTACAACAATTATGTTGACGCAATTTATATTCAAAATAAACCTGACACTTAAGGAAATAGAGACATAGAGACAATGCAGACAAAAAGATTAATGGGTCGACAATTTAAAATGTTTTCTATGTTTACTCATAATAAGAGGGTAGGACAGGGATTCTCATTTTCTCCTGCTTCTTTGATTTTGAGTTGTTCCTTGCCGATGCAGGAGGGTCAATGATGCAGGACATTTAAGGACAGTCATTGACGTTTATTAACATTATGGACATTAGACATCTGCCCTTTAGGGACCCTTTAGAGATCAATGGCTCCTATGTGTTCGTTGTTATTGCATTTCTGATTTGTACTGGCGAATCAACAACTTTGTATAGTCCTCTGAGATGACTGCTTTAGGGCTGTACAAAAATACATTTAATTTAATTGTATAAAGATAAAGAGATTTACCATCTGCAGCAGGTGTAGGTGTCGCGTCATCCTGGCACTTCACTTCATCTGCAAAACAAGAAAATAACAACACATTTTAATAGTTTCAAAGCAATTTTAAATACACAGAATAAGGATTCCCGTATGCACTCAATGTTATTATTATTGGTGGTTTCAGTCATGGTAAGGAGGTCATGTTTTAACAGCTGAACTTAACCTGATCTGCCCAAACACCAGAGCAAAGCTGACCCTCTGCACAAGGACTAATCACCCTGTTTTGGGCGCTATACAAATAAATATCCTCTGGGGTTGCGACCTCTTCACTCCGTCTCTCTGGGGACGATCGCCTTTCAAGTTAATTTCCTGTCCGTCTTTTCCTATTCAGATAATCAGACCAATCGCCTTTTGAGATGACATTTCAAAGTGTTATCTCGCCCACTGAGGGAAACAAACAATTAAAGCTGCGTGCAACTAGCATGAGTGCATTTGTTACAAGTTTGTTTGTGAGAGAAATGTGTGGGTAAAGCTGGAATGACTCACTTTTTTGTTGTTTCATAAATACGTTTAGTGTGTCCCAGAAAAAGTCTAACTTAAGTATAATTTTGTCTTGTTCAAAAACATTTAAAATTCAGACTTATTTACTGAGACCTGATTGGTTGATTGATCTAAAAATTTGATAAAGGCCAAAATACATGCATTTAAAAAACAAGTGCAAGAACCAAACTGGGGAGCTATAGTTGTAGAGCTATTTCACGGTTTTTAAGTATTTACTGATTCCTGTTTTAACTAAACTGTGGATTCAATCAGGTTTGCAAGATTCCAAATAAATAATAAAATAATAAAATAAATACAAATGGAAAAGAAGCAGATGTGGCAGGTTTTACATTTAATCTTTAAGATAAGTGAGAACCTTCATTGGTCGCATAGTGGAGAAATGCGGGAGTTGTATCGTACATACAGGACACAAAATAAACATCGATGGGAGCAATGGCATGAAATAAGTGGGTTTCTAATATGTTAAAGTATTTTGGAGCCTATTTTCAAAGCCAGGATTAGGATGGTAAACATTGAAGCAGTTACTGATAAAATTATCCCACAAAAAAATCTAAAAATATTTGGCCTACTCATCTTCGATAATTTTCTTTATCCTAAAGCTGACCTATCAGACATACAATACATACAGGCCTGTGTCTGCCTGTTGAGTGCATCTCCTCTGGCGTCAGCTGTCTGATGGCTGTCCAGTCCACCGCAGACAAATAAGTCATTAAAGCCTTTGTTTTATGGTTGTTTTTACCTAATGGCTTCTGACTTAAACGGCGGTGTTTTACGGCGTAGTTAGAAGGGAAAATGTTTGGTATAAACAGCTCTATGCCCTGTAAAATGGGCGATTATGGAATGTTTTTACTTTCAAAGTGCAACTAAGTCGAATGCGTGTTAGTACATTATTGTGTTAAAAGCTTCTTGTGAGGTTCCACGCACGTAATGGCTCAAAAACATTGGATATAATTCACAAAACATGTGTTCATTCATGGATTTCAGCTAAATAATCTGGCAGCCTGGACTGGGGAGTTTATTTCATTCTTTTTGCATAAAGGCCAAGGGCACCAAAAAAACAGTTAAACCACTAGATTTCAACAAACTATGATATAATAAAAACCATTATTATGAGTGGTTTCCTAATTAATAGATTTTTGTCAAACTGTAGGCTTTTCTCCACTGTGGCTCAGTCTTTTCTGAACACGTATTGAAATTGCGTGACAATCCAGGACAACTGTGGGAAAGTTAGCATGTTGTTTTGACCCATGCCGGCTTTTCACCACAGGAACGTGTCAATATAAAAAAAGGGTCAAAACAAAAGAAACATCCGCCTTTAAAACTGAGTCTTTCAAAGTGACATTGCAGTGCCAGCAATACCCCAAGAAATTACATGATAACTGATTACAGCAATCTTATAATCCATGTGGAGCAAAATACATATTTTTAATCATGTTTTTTTTAAAGGACAACTTTATAAAGGAAAAAGCCAAACTTTTATGGCAAGAGCTTCACTCTTGTTACGCTGTATTGTCCCTCCTGTAACTTGAACCATCTTCAGTTTATATAAGGTTTAGTCCCAATTCAGATATTTTTATGTATCCTTTATTTTGCCAAGAGTTGCCTTGCCATTTCTTTGGCTTCCAAGTTGATACACAACTTCCAAGCAACCTGCTACAATGTGTCTTCCATCGTACCAAGTTATTCACCATTACCATTAGTCTAATTGTTTTTACACTGCCCAGACACAACACACACACCGACAAGCCGCTATTCTCCCATACTCACGCTCTCACACACACACACACACACACACACACACACACACACACACACACACACACACACACACACACCGTCTGCTTTCATTATAAACACGACTTTGGCCTCGCTCCAGCCTCCAGAGAGCTTCAGTGCTGCAGTCTGACCCTGAGACCACTTCACAGCTTGTTTAACCACATCAGCTGATCTGCCTCTGTAAACATGCTGGGTGTTCCAGTCAAAAGACATACACTTGAGTTACTTTTTGAATCCTTTGTATTCTCTCACTGTGAGAGAGTTTATAGGTCATATTGATAAAATGGAAGACTTTTTGTTCTTTGAAGCCAATACCAATAACAAATGTGCTATGGTAGATTGTGCCAAGATATGCATGTTAAAGACTTTGTATGTCTTTGTATAAAAAGGCAGGAAACAGCTTCAAACTGTACTTTATTTTTATCAATAGGCTATAATTTGGGCCAATACACAGAGGTTAATTTCTCCCTGTTATACTGAAAACTTAAAAAATATAAAACCAAACCAAATATAAAACTTATTACACGAGAAATTACATATAAGTGTTTGTTAAAAGTTTGATAATTATGGTTATCTATCTATCTATCTATGCATTAGTGTCACATTGTGAGTCAAATTACAGAAGTAAATGGACTTTTGAACAATAATCTAATTTTCAGAGTTTCACCTGTACACTCTAATCGCATGTCTTGACAAATCTATTGAACATTTTCCATAATTTGAGTGACATACAAGACTGAATATATTGTGTATGCATGTGTGTGTGTGTGTGTGTGTGTGTGTGTGTGTGTGTGCGTGTATAATGTCAGGACTAAATGATAGGGTAGGATTTAATCCATGGCAGAGGACGATAATATGAACCCAACATTTCCTCTACTGCGGTTTTACTAATTTTCCAAACTGGGAGGGTCCGACCACACTTTTTAAAAACACATTACAAATCTGACTTACGGAGACATATTATAAACATATTATCCGTCACTTCATCAATAGAGGCGAACCACCGCTTGAGTGCTAGTGGCTGCCTGACCCAGCCAAATGTATTTGAACTAATTTGAACTGAACCCAATCCACCAAAAGGATTTCCAACTTGCTCATAAAGACCACCATAAATAAACCACATCAGTCTAAAAGCGGCGTTGGGACAAGGCCAAGAATCTGAGTGTAGTGGAATATTTACAAAGTGACGGACATATGGAGAAAGGTCATTGTTTATAGGCAAAGCTTCTTAGAATAACATGGCCGTGTTGTTTTAACCATTAAAGGAAAGTTATCTGTTATGCAAGGGATGAAAATTAGCTAAAAGAAATCAGATAAAATCTTTTTATGCTTTTTTTTTCTTCAGAATTTTAGAATCCAGGCATATTGTCCCTACAGCCATTCAGCAGAGAAACTGATGTCATTCCAACAAATCAAACCAATTATCCAGAAGCCATTTGTAGATGAAACCTCCCTGAACACATGCACATTCCTCACAGGGGAACAAAGGGTTATGTGTTGGCAAAGCTTACCTTAAAATCCAGTTAATCTAATGTTCATAATAGGTTCTAATGTCAAATAGATACACTAAACAAAAAGGAAAGACACTCTGAGCTATTAAACAATATTGACAGATTTTGATTGCCAAACTTGCACAAAAGACATTTAAGATGTATTGGATGCTATGTCTGTCTTAAAAATATGTAAATTTCTCCTGTGTGAGATTAATAAAGTACATCTTATCTTATCTTATTAATAATCTTAATAATAATAATAATGCATCAGTTTTATATAGCGCTTTTTTGGACACTCAAAGATGCTTCATATGTCATTATTCATTCTTTCCATTCACGGTTGGGATAAACTACAACTGGCTGCCCAGGGGCACGCTAAGGGGAAAGAGGCAAACGGTTTGTGCCATTGGCCCCTCCACACACACCAGACTCAGTCTAGACAACGAAGTGGCACCTTACAGCAGCAGCCGCCCCACTGTAGCACCTGGTGTTCCCAGAGGTCTACCATCACAGTACTCGCCAGGCACTGCTTTGCTTCGCTTCAGAGTTCTATACATATTTATACTATAGGTACCAAATTAGCTGTGTCATTTTGCAAAAGAAATCAGCAGGAATTATGCTTTATTGTGAATATATACATTTTTTTACCAATATTCACCATGCCTTTGTTTTCTTTCGTCAAAACCTCTGCTGCTTCTGTCCGTTTCGTCCCAAAAGCAAAGTAAGAACCTGCTTTAACACCCCAAACTGTTTTCCTGCTTTCATCATCTTCCGACATTCTTTTCTATCGGCCTGATCGAACCTTAAGGTGGCGTTCACTGCAAAAATCTTCAGGAAATAAACATGTCTGTGTTTGATTAGTCTGGTGGAGAATTTCACTCCATATGGGGATGCAAGTTTTTTGGATTTTTTTTTTTTGCACATCAAGAGGAAGAGGGTAGCTTCCTTTTGGCCCGGGAGAGGCCCGGAACCAGGGAACACAGCTGTAGAACTATCCCTGGAGTGCCCTGTCCCTGACCAGCCAGCTATGCAGCGTGGTGACTTCATACTTGTCAAGGTTTTTAAATCTTTGGAGCAAATATTGAACTCCACCCAGACTACAGAGACAACAGTTCTGGCTGTCACTCCCGCGGACACCTCCTGTTCACTGTTATCAAGCGTGTCCGCCAAGCCAGATGTCAGCGCAAAACTGGAGAGGAGCATGTGCAGAGACCGACGCCAAATGTGCGAGGAATTTGGAAGCCG